TAGAATAGAATAGAATAGAATAGAATAGAATAGAATAGAATAGAATAACAGAGTTTGAAGGGATCTTGAAGGTCTTGTAGCTCAACCCTCTGCTTAGGCAGGAAACCATATACCATTTCATTCTTGTTGAGTTCATTCCTGTTGAGTGCTGAGCTTTGGACACTTTGATTTGGTAAATGATTGGAGGGAGGAAATGTTTCTCACCTTTGCAGATAACCTAGAAGTGGCTAGGGTAGGTTTGACACTAGAATGACAGAAATCAACATTCGGACAATTTAGAATCCTGATTTAGCTTAATGAGTGAAACTGCTCAGTATGTGAATAAAAATACATTTCAATTGCATTTGGAAGGGCTTTGCTTTTCCAATGCTTTCTGACTGAAAAAGAGATAGTTTAGAAGGCAGAGGTAATGACATTGAGAGACCTCATTACCAAGACAAGGTTAGATAAAAGTACTACTTAATGAGGTAATTCCCCATTAGGAGAATGAGTACACACAGTGAGACGTAGTGAGAGTGGTGAGGAATAACACACAATCCGCACACAGATACACTGTATAGTAAAATGTAGGTTTTACTTCCAGTAAACGGCTAAGCAAAGTTCAACAATCAGTCCAAGTCATTCACGGTTAAAGCAGTCAGTTTTCAATCCAGGGATAATCCAAATAACAAAGTCCAGTATCATAAACAGTTTAGTAACAGACTTACATCAAATCCAAGAATAATGACAATCAGCAACAGTCAATAGGGAAATGCAGGAAAGGCAACACTCTCAACAACAGGACAGAACAACCCAGGTTTCTGGCTCCATCTTATGGCCGTTTGAGGAACCACACTGAATTACAATTTTAACATTCCCTTAAAGAGACAGTATTAAAATGTCTACCCTGGTTTATATATTTTCCAACCCAACTGTTAGGTGACTTACATTCCTAAGATTACTGACTTATATCACATAACTTTCCTAATCTGCAGTACACTGAAAGACTGACTGACAAAAAGACAAAGAAAAGACAAATGCACAAAAACAAATTTATATATTTATAGGTAAAGCTTTAGGTAGATACAGGTAAAAATTTCCCCTGTCAGTCATAACCAACCCAAGGGGCAGTGCTCATTTTTGATTCACAAATGAAGAGCCAGCTCTATCTGAAGAATGCTTCCATGGTCAAGTGGCTAGCACGACTATACACCATAGATGCATGGAACATGGTTACTTTCCCACTAAACTGGAAACTGGCACCTATTCATCTACTTGCATTTACATGCTTTTGAATTGCTAAATTGGCAGGACACACAGACACACACATACACGCACACACTATATGTATATGGAAATGGATATGGATATGGACATGGCTAAAAACCAGGAACCAATTTTAGTACTCATAAGCACACCTTCATTGTCACATCAAGTGTTTACATGATTTCCACTGCAAAATAATTCAGAGTTGTACACATTTTTCTTTTGATTGAAGACTGTCAAAAATAACAATTAGTCTCATTAATTTATTCAGAGAAAAAGGTTAAAATTGCTCCAATGTTCATGTTGATATTTTATCTATTCTTAATATATGGAATGTTAGCTGTCTCCCTGTTTTTCTCTTTCTCAACCTACCCCATCTATCTAACTCATTTATCTATCTATGAGTGATCTTACATTATCCAGCTGGAAGAGACCAATCAAATATATATTTGAAATTAACTGTTTTTTTAATAGTCAGAACATCATCCCAGAAAATGAAATATAACACCAAACTGTACAGCAACAAAAACACACATCATTAGCCATAGTCCTTACTTTAGTCTAAAACCATATCAGAACATCTCTGGTAACATTTTATCTCACCTGGTTTCAGAAATTTTATTAATGTCATTGATGATAGTTAATATTTAACATGAATTCAGATTGTGACAATTAAGGATATGATTAATTGAAATAGTTTGAATTATTTTAGCAACTTTACTACTCAATTATTATAATTCAAGATTCACATGGAATGAAGAAAGATAAGTGACAACACATAAAACATTACTTCAAGGTATGGGATTTTACACTGCATGTATACTGAACAAAAATAAACACCAACATAAGGAGCCTTAATGAGTTTTCATCATCAGATGTTCCTTGGTATTCATGTCAGGTCTCAGTGTAATAATGTAGCATTTGGGGATAAAAATGCAGCCCAGTAAACCCAGGCTGGAGGCCAGGAGGGAGAAGATCTGCACGGCTACCATGTATTTCCCTTTGGTGCTCAGGTAGGTGGGGACAAAGGAGATCCACACACTACAAAAAACCAACATGCTGAAGGTGATCAGTTTGGCTTCATTGAAGATCCCTGGCAGATTTCGAGCCAGAAATGCCACCAAGAAACAGATGGCAGCCAGAAAACCCATGTAGCCAAGGGCAGTGTAGAACATGGCAACTGAACCTTCGTTGCACTGCAGCAGGATGTGGTCTGGCTGGGAATGAAAGTCAGAATCTGGGAATGGGGGAAAGATTCCCAGCCATATCATACAGATGCCTACTTGAATACCAGAGCAGGATAAAACAATCGAGTGGGCCAGACTCTTCCCCAGCCATTTCTTCATCCTGCTTCCTGGCTTTGTAGCCAGGAAAACTACCACCACCATTACAGTCTTGGCCAGCAAAGAAGATACGGCAACAGAGAAAACAATACTGAAAATGGTTTGTCGAAGGAGACAGGTCATTTTCATGGGGCGACCGATGAATAGAAAGGAGGTCAAGAAAGAAAACAGGAGTGAAACCAGGAGGACGTAGGTAAGTTCACGGTTGTTTGCTTTGACTATGGGAGTTTCTCGGTATTTAATGAAGATTCCCAGAATAAAGGCAGTGGTTAGGGACAAAGCAATGGCAAAGAAAGCCAGGATGAGTCCCAATGATTCTTTATAGGATAAGAAGCTTATGCTTTTGGGGATACACTGATCCCGCTTCTTATTGGAATACTGGTCATCTGAACACTTTTCACAATGGGCTGCATCTGGAAAAAAAAATTGGCTAGCGTGTATCTGTTTCTGCTGCTGTAGGAACATGAAAACCTCATCAGAAATCAATTACTTCTTTTTAAGGAATAATATATTTCTGCCCAGGGATATTCATATGACACAACATTAGTTAAAATAACCAACAGCCTTTTAAAAGGCTGAAAATGAATGTGATTATCAGCTCTCAAAACTTGTCCTCTTTCCCAAAACCAAGCAAGAAAGTAACACCTCAATAGATTATTTTAGTGCTCACATCATCGTACAAAATTCGATAGTGATAGTGCTCAATCTTTGAAATGCTTGTGGATGCCTTCAAGATATGTAAAGTTTTTTCTTGCTTCTTGATCAAATACCCCAAAAAAGCAATAGAGAATTTTGATTGTCTCCTGATGTTTTGTTGTTTTTGAAGCCACCTATTGTACCTTCTTGCCCAGAGAATGTTCCTTCCATACACAGAGAACAGTCGTAGCAGCAAACTGGGGCTCCCTTTCTCACAAGCTTGGAATAACCTGCAGAGCAACTTTCTGTACATCTTGAATAAGGCACCATCTAAACATAAACCAAAAGATTAATCAGGGCAATATATAACTTAGAGGCAATATATAAAGGGACGTGGTGGCTCAGTGGCTAAGACGCTGAGCTTGTCTATCAGAAAGGTCGGCCATTTGGCGGTTTGAATCACTAGCACTGCATAATGGAGTGAGCTCCCATTCCTTGTCCCAGCTTCTGCCAACAGCAGTTTGAAAGCATCTAAAAATGCAAGTAGAAAAATAGGGACCACTTTGGTTGGAAACTAACAGCGTTCCACGTGCCCTTAGTGTTTAGTCATGCTGGCCACAAGACCATGGAGATGTCTTTGGACAGTGTTGGCTCTTCGGCTTTGAAATGGAGATGAGCACCACCCCTTACAACTGGAAACAATTCGCATGTATATGCAAAGGAACCTTTACCTTTAAACATAAACTGAAAAATTAGTATGAATTAGAAGGGTTTACTGAAATCAACTGGCTTCCAAAAGTCAGGATCACATTGAGCAAATCAGTCAAGAAGTAGTGGCATGAACTTTAATTACTGTTCTTGCAAGGGACAAATGAAGGGTCATTCTCTTTCCTCTATCAATCTCCATTTTAGATCCCAAAAAAGATTCTTTGCCTTATTCTCCTTTCCAAAGGAAAGAAGTTCCATTGCAAAAGGTGTTCTCCTTAGCGCATGTATGAGAATGCCATAACTTGTACATATTCTTTCTCCATCTTAGCTTTCTCAAGAAGCCTCCAAAATCTCGTTTTCTCTAGAGTCCCTATCTTTATCTCCTACAACTGGTCATTGTATCATCATATGTAAATGACTTTTTTTAGCTGCCCTCATTTCCCTCACCACATTCTTAATGATATCTTCCTCTTATGCAATTCAGTGGGCTTAACCCTTCTTATTCTTGATTTTCTCCCAAAAGTGCTTTTTCAAAAGAAAACTGATCTTTGTTTTCCCTTGAAGATGTTTCACTTCTCATTCCAGAAGCTTCTTCAGTTTTGACTGAATGGTAGGGTATGGAAGGATTTATATTCCTTGCAGTCATCTGGTTGTTAGCAGCCTTTCTGAAAGTTTTTGAGGCCTCTTGGAATTTATCTGTGCACTCAGAGTCATTTGAATAGTGGAAATAGGTGTGGAACCTTCCTGGAATTGCTGAATCTATATCCTGTTTGCAACACAGTCTTTTCAGCAGTTCCAAATCCTTCCATCCTCCACCATTCAGTCAGAACTGAAGAAGTTTCTTGGATGAGAAGTGAAACATCTTCAAGGGAAAACAAAGTCCAGGTGCCTTTTGAAAAAAAAACTTTGGCACAACCGTGACCTGGATGACTGAGAATATCCATAGATATTTTGGATTTTCTGTTACTGAAAACAACATAATTTGATGTACTATAAATTATGGCAACATATTCCAGTTCAATAATGTAGTTTGGAAATACTGCAATATAATGCAGCAGGTTCCAGTGTGTGATAGATTATTTTAAGACCTCTAAAGTAAAATGATATCTAATACATTAATGATGCTTTAAATTCTCTTAGTTGGAAGTTATCTCAATTGGTCTCAATAAGAATTATTTCTGAGCAGAAAATTTACACATATGAAGATAAATAGAAGAGCAAAATCCAAGCAGCCTCAACTACTTTGTTAAATAAAGTTGGCCATTGGATGGCACTTTGATTGACAGAGATCTTGACTTCCGATGAGGATTGGCTTTCTACACTCCCAATTTTCACCCCCGCATCTGATTTGTTCCGAACTGATGTCCAGTGCATGATATCAAAGTCACTAACAGGAACTCCATTTTCATCAAAAGAAATCCCATCTCTAGAAATATTACGATGTTGGAAGTTCCTCAGGAACCTATGAAGCTGCCGAAACATAGAAAAAACTATTACAATTTGAGCCTTTATTCAATGTTTTTCTTGCTCTTATTCTGGATTGAATGGATTCTGAATAATTCAACCTCTTGAAATCATCACTACAGTGTGAACGAGATTTCATGGGAAGCTTCTTTCAGTCATTCTCCAGAAGTTTACAGCTCTTTGTTAAATATTGATCTCACATTTTTGAAAATATGGAATAGATAGCACCACCATCATGTACTTTGCAACTGGCTGACAAATTATATTCAACATGTAGTCCTCTTGGGGAACCCCATCCACATGGAGGGAAATAAGCAATGGGGTATCCCAAGCTTCCATTTTAGGCCCTGCATTCTTTAATGTCTTCAAAAAAGATCTAGGCGAGGGAATTTAAGGGGAACTCATCAAATTTGCAGGCAACACCAAGCTGTCAGTAAAAGGCAACACGTCAGAAGACAAGCACAAGATCCCAAAAAGATCTTGACAATTTGAAGAAAATGAAATTCAACATAGATGAAAGTGAGGTTTTCCACCAAGGCAAGAAAATCCAATAGTATAGGTTACAGACTATGTGAAACTTGGCTTAATGTCAGTAACTGTGAGAAGGATCTTGGAGTCCTAGTGGACAATCACTTAAATATGAACCAACAATGTGTGGCAGCAGACAAAAATGCCAATGCAATCCTAGGCTGCATTAACAGAGGGATAGAATCAAGATCACGTGAGGTTCTAATATCACTTTACAAAGCCTTAGTAAGACCACATTTAGAATACTGCATCCAGTTCTGTTCATCAACACAATATAAAAAAGATATTGAAACTCTGGAAAGACTGCAGAGATGAGCAACAAGAAATGATTAGAGGGCTGGAGGATAAAACACACCACGAACAGTTACAGGAATATGTTATGTCTAATCTAAGGAAAAGAAGGACTGGGGAGACATGATATCACTTTTCTAATATTTGAGGGAGGTCAAAACATTTCCCAAAGCACTGATAGTTGAGACAAGAAACAATGGCTGGAAACTAATGAAGGAGAGAAGCAACCATCAGTCCTGACCAAGATGGAGTTAGCGGAGTTTGACTTTGGGCTAGGAATGTAAAAAAAATTGCAAAGCAATGTTATCTCTTTCAAAGAGTAGCTGTGGAAGCATATCCATTGGTTCAGGAGATGAGTGGATGAACCTTTTGTTGCCCCCAGAAGATGCTTTGATTTATACCTTGTTGCTATGCTACAAATTTTTATCCAGCAAAGTCCCATTTTAATCCAGAACAAACAATCCAGCTTAACTTTTTAGCTTGGAGACTATATCTCTTTGTTATCACAATAAAGGGTTTAGGATTGCTGGACTATTCTGATGCTTATTTAATTTTGAAAATTATGTTTTGTCACCATAGAGCTATATCTGTCATAAAATCATCACAAACTATCACAGGTTGTTTAACTTTGGAAGATTTTTCTCTACCATCTCTCTCTAACTCGCTGTCAGGGTTCCAGGTAATACGCCTGTTGCAAACAGGACTCTGAAGCAAGCAGATTCCTCAAATATCAGTTTTATTGGACATATCATATAGGCATAGGCTGGTGAAAACTGACTCTAAATGTTCCCATGGTTTTCACTTAATTAAAAGTAAAAGTTTTCCTCCCCTTTCCAAACAATCAGTTACCTTGTCCAATCAAGGTGTCATCCAGTTGCCTGGTGACTTCACTCAACTTCCCTCTGGCCATCAGTGGGAATGTCTTGGTTTCCAGGAGAAAGTATTTTGTTGTGGCTACAAAACTCCAGCTATCTATATTCCCTATCCCTCAGCTTTAGTGTGGCAACACTGAAGTATCAAAATGGCCTCAGTCAGGTCAGCTTCAGGGTTGACAGGGAGCCCCCCCTTAAACAAAGAGGACCTCTTGCAAAGGAAATAAAATATAGAGAGGTTACAAAAAGTTCACACTAACCTCCCCTTCCACACCCTTAGGATTTTGGGGGTACTGTCTGCCTTCACATCCAGCTCTACCTGTCTGCCTTCACATTCCAGCTCTTGACCCGGGTAGTCTTGGATAGTGGGTATCCCTTCCATTGCACTATATACTGTAAGCAACCTCTATGTAATCTAGAATCAAGGTTTTTCTTTACCTCATAATGTGTTTCTCCTTCCACCACTATTGGTTTTGGAGCTACGATTTAGCGGACTGATCTGGGAGCCTTCTGGCGGCTTTAACAAGCTGCTGTGAAAAACTGAACACACTTCCCCTAACAAGCGAGAGAGTCTAAGTTGTACTGTAACAGGGTTGATCATTTTCACTATGGGGAAAGGTTCTATGAATGTTTAGTGTCAGTTTAATGTCAGGGTTGCAAGTAATACTCCCATAGCAAACAGGACTCTGAGGCAAGCAGGTTCCTTAAATATCAATTTTATTGGACATATCATATAGGCATAGGCTGGTGAAAACTGACTTTAAATGTTCCCATGGTTATCAATTAATTAAAGGTAAAAGTTTTCCTCCTCTTTCCAAACAATCAGTCACATGGTCCACAAAGGTGTCATCCGTTTGCCTGGTGACTTCACTCTTCCTCCCTCCAATCATCAGCGGGAATGTCCTTCGTTCCCAGGAGAAAGTATTTTGTTTTGGCTACAAAACCTCAGTTATCTCTATTCCCCCTCCCTATCCCTCAGCTCCAGTGTGGCAACAGTGAAGCATCAAAATGGACAGGTCATCTTCAGGGTTGACTCTCAAATACCACTAACTGGACAACTGCTCTTTAGAATATCTCACCCCTTTCAACATCTAATTTAATATTGAGGAATTGGAAAGGGAGAATCAATGGAACCACAAAGGGGAAGAGTTACCTGCCATGGCTGTACAATCTGGGTTAGTTGATGGGATCCAGCTTGCATTCTCCTCTTATTCCATTGCGAGGAAGAGGCAGCACTGAGGACCCAGGACACAATTTGAATTATTTGGGAAATATTGGAGGAATCCTGAGACAGGATTCTTGCAATCACATCATTGGACGGGAATTCCCAATTCTCTTTTTCTCTGCATTTTTTCCAAACTTTCTTTGATAACAGAGGATTTGAATAGGAACATTGGAATGCTTCCTTTCCATATAATACGACCATAGATACATGAGATTTAAAGTCGTAATACTGAGTCCTTCTTTTTGTCTGGATGAGGAAGGAAAACAAAGCATGTTTATTTTGGAGATCAATCCAGTGGTCAAAAATATATACACTGAAAGCTGTCAAAGTTGTTGCAATCCACACCCTTCCAATCATGGATGTATTAGTCATATCAATTATTTGTATTATTGCTGCTAATATTCCCGAGGCCTGAAAATCCAGTTGGCATACTATAATTTTTATTTGACTCTTGATAAGAGAAGAGAACATTTTCCTTTTTTCTTGCATGAGAGTTTCTCCAGCACTTGTCTGCATATTTGCTTCTGGGACAGTTCCTGAGAGGACAATGCAAATCCCATTTTTTAGAGCGAGAACTTCCAAGCATCTTTTGAATTTTTCTCCTCTTTCATTGTCCTGAGAAAGGAGGCCAATCCACGTCCATTGGAACTGCAGGAGCAGCTGGACAATCGCTAAGTAAGGAGGTTCTTGGTTTGGGGTCATCCAATATGAAAAAGGGAAACGATTCTTTTGCTCAGCCATCTGGTTGATGACACTGTAGTTGATCTAAGATAAAAGAGAAGGTACTGGTAGTTTGTGCGAGTTTTAATGATGAAAGTCAGATGATAAATCTAAGGGCCTGGGAGATGTTTCAAATGATAACTGCATGAATTTTGTTAGTTCCCTTAATGTTCTGTCCTGTTGTCTGTATGCTTTGAAACCAGGTGTTACTTTTAGCCAGGTGTCATTCCTGGCTTGCGCTTGAGGAAGAGCAGAAAGAGGTGGGGTGAGATCTGATGGAGCAATTTGTTGGTATGATCAGAAGCACATTCCACATATATCTTTCTCCAGATTGTGTCTCAAGTTACCAAGCCCAACCAGAGAGGCATGTTTTCCACAGCTCGGCAAAAGTGCTTAGTTGGGGAATGTGATTTATGACACACCCTGGGAGGAGGAGGGAAACAGGGTCATAGTGAATAGTAAATTATGTAGAGCAGAGCCAACTGCACTTGGGAAAAGTGCCAACATGTTGCTCCTAATAAATAATTGGATTTCTTTTGAAACTTGGCTTGAGGCTCATGAATTAATTAGAGCATTTGTCAGAACCCTGACACCAGGGAGCTCTGAATTATCTGTGGGTAATTATCTGGTCACATTATAACTCTGTGGGTCACCCATTCACTCAGTCTGTTAGTCACTCAGAATAGAGCTGGAAAGTCTTTCAGTCCAGCAGGAGACCCTAGTCCAGGGATGTCAAACTTAAGGCCTGGGGGCCAGATCTGGCCTGTGGGATGCTTCGATCTGGCCCATGGGGCCACCATGGAAATAGCAAAGGACTAGCCCACAGTGCCTCTGCCAGTGAAAATGCAGCTAGAGAGGGCCGTGAATGGCTCTCCTGAGCTCCATTTTGGCAGAAGGGTATCCCATCTGAAAACGGAGCTCATTTTCACTGGCAGAGCATTCAGGCCACCACAGGTGCCCCCTGACACTAGTGACATCATGCGGGCCATGCCCACTATGGCCATGCCTCCCCCTGAGGTCAAAAACAACCCTGATGCGGCCCTCAATGAAATCGAGTAACAGCCCTGCCCTAATCCAACCCCCTGCTAGAGCAGGAGACCCAATACCATTTCAGACAAGTGATTGTCCAGACTCTTCTTTAAAAAACCCCATGATGAAGCACCCAAAATGTCTGAAGGCAAAGCTGTTCCAGTGGTTAATTGTCCTCACTGTCAGGAAGCTTCTCCTTAATTCCATGTTGTTTCCCTCCTTGATTAGTTTCCATCCATTGTTTCTTGTCCTGCCTTCTGGTGCTTTGGAAAATAGATTGACCTCCTCCTCTTTGTGGCAGCCTCTCAAATACTGGAATATTGCTATACACTCGTGGAATATCTTTTTAAACTGACAAACATATTAATTTATCATAGATTATTACTGCTTATTTGATGGTTTCATACATTGGGCTTGAAATATAGTTTGTTATATCTCCCTCTCCCCAGCAATTGTTTAATATTGGTATATTATTTCATTGTCTTCATTCATATTTTGTGGAGGCAAGTTGTTCCGCTGATTAATTGTTCTAACTGTCAGGAAATTTCTCCTTAGTTCTAAGTTGCTTCTCTCTTTGATTGGATTCCCCCCATTGCTTCTTGTCCTGCCCTCAGGTGCTTTGGAGAATAGCTTGACTCCCTCTTCTTTGTGGCAGCCCCTGAGATATTGGAACACTGCTATCATGTTTCCCCTAAGAAAATGTTTTCCTTAGATTTCACATTCTTATAGCTTCACCACCATTTGAATAAAACACTTCAGATTCCCTTCCAGTGGGCCAGCCTCTTCTGGAGCTCTGGAGCTCTTCAAAGATATAAGCAACCCATGGGCAATAGGATGTAGGAAGGAAGTGAATCCAGGAGGCTAACAAAGCAGACCCAGTGCCTATGGAGACCCAGAGCAGGATGTGGGGAGGAAGGATCTATGGGGCCCCCAAGGGATTATAGGTGAGCATGAGGTATCAGGGAAGACTTTGGGTGGCCTCTTCCAACTCTAGGCTCTGCATGGCCTTCCCCACTCTGAGATCCCTTATTTGCATTTAGCAACCTGTGCATTCAATTAACAAATGCATTGGGCCAATCAGGGAGGGATCATGTTTATTTAATGTGATTCAATTAAACGGATCCTTAAGTTATGAATATATATACACACACACATATACAAGGCATATGCATATATAAAGACACACAAACACATATACATATACAATGAATACACACACATATGTCTGTGTATATGTAGCATATACATACATGTGTGTGTCTGCATATGTGTATAATACATACATTGTATGCATGTGTGTGTGCATGTGTGTGTGTGTGTACACACACACATATATGGGGATGTGGTGGCTCAGTGGCGAAGATGCTGTGCTTGTCGATCAGAAAGGTTGGATGTTTGGCCATTCAAATCCCTAGCACCTCATGATGGAGTGAGCTACTTGTCCCAGCTTCTGCTAACCTAGCCGTTCAAAAGCATGTAAAAATGCAAGTAGAAAAATATGGACCACTTTGGTGGGAAGGTAACAGTGTTCTGAGTGCCTTCAGCATTTAGTCATGCCAGCCACATGACCAAGGAGACATCTTCGGACAGCACTGGCTCTTCAGCTTTGTAGTGGAGATGACCAATGCCCCTTAGAGCTGGAAAGGACTAACATGTATGTGTGAGGGGAACCTTTACCTTTACCTTATATACATATGTACAAACACACACACACTTTGTGAATTAAAAATTATTTCAGTTCTTCTAATATTTACTCTCTGACTTTCAATTTATTTGGAGAAATATATACAAGTGCTGCCTTCTAGGCAAATCTGAACAATTTATAACACAGAATTAATTTCATTTGGCTTTATACCTGTGGAATTTTATAGATGCTCAAGACATTGGAAATGTGATCAAAGAGTTCAGAATCCATCTCTTCAAGAATCGCCAGCAGGTTCTTTTGTCTTCCACATCTGTAGTTTGGGACGTTCTCCTGTCCCGTAGACAGCACATCCAGCACAGCCTCATATGTCATTCTTGCACTGAAAAAGTTCTGATAGATATTGTAGCCCAGGGTGATGTTGGGTAAGAGCCTTGAATTCCGGTTGACTTCATGAACAGCCAATAAGAAGGGCAGAATGTAGTAGAAGTTGTTCTCACTGCAACATAAGAAATTTCATCATCTTGTTTTGCTCTATATCAATGATTTATGTGATCAACTTAAAAGCAATTGTGTTCTTTTTGCCAATGACATAAAATTATTCTATTCTACAGATAATACTGTTGTTTTGCAAAGTGATCACGACTATGTGTCTGAATGGTCATCTATTTGGCAACTTCAAATTTCAATTAATAAATGCTCTGTGTTACATATTAGTAAACATAATCTGAATGTCAAGTATAAGCTAGGTGGCATTGATCTAGCAAATGACCCTCACTTTGTCAAGGACCTAGGTGTACTTATCTCTGACAATTTATCCTCCAAAGTTCACTGTAACAGCGTTGCTAAAAAAGCATTAAGAGTTGTAAATTTAATTTTGTGAGGCTTTTTTTCTGGAAACATTGTATTGCTAATTAGAGCTTATAAAACTTATGCTAGACCAGTTTTAGGGTATTGTTCAACTGTTTGGAACCACCACCATATATCTGACATCAGTACAATTGAGCAGGTTTAGAAGTACTTCATGAGAAAAGTCTTGCACTCTTCTGTATACAATAGAATTCCATAGGCTCGAAATTCTCAGTTTGGATAACTTAGAACTGTGTCGCTTACAATGGGACCTAAGTATTGCATCCAAAAATGATACGTAGTCATGTTTTACCTGTAAATGACATTTTTGTTTTAATCACAATAATAGGTGCACGAACAACTGCTTTAAACTCAATGTAAATTGTTCTAAACTTGACTGTAAAGAAATATGATTCCTGTAATAGGGTTGTCAAACTCTGGAATTCCCTACCTGATTCGGTTGCCTCAGCTACAAATTTTCAGTTTCTGTCACAGATTGACTTCTTTGGACCTTACGTCATACTTAAGTGGTCAGTAGAGGAGGGCATGGATAAGGGCACTAAATGTCCCTGTCATTGTATTTTTTTATTCTCTTATTCTTGTTCTCATTTTTGTTTGACAAATTCCAATAAACAAACAAACAAACAAGCAAGCAAGCAAGCAAGCAAGCAAACAAATAGATAGATAAACCTTCAGTTTGGACTTTCATGAAAGCATGTCAAATTTACTGTAGCTGTATATCTATATAGTGCAACGTCAAAAAGATAATCAGATACTCATTATTTAATTAAATTTAAATTTAATTCCATTTATTTGGACTTTGAAGGTGATAAGACATTTTTGGAATTTCTATGAGAAATTCACACCACTAGAAGCTTATTGTCAAAAGAAATATCAGAGAGAGATAGCAAGCTTATTATGTCAGGATCAAAGGAATCCTATCAAAATCATCAGAACTGATTCTACCTATAAATTTCTCCAAATTATGACTTGGGAGGGGAAAATGAGGAAAATTATTCTTATAGTTCAGTAGCCAGGTAAGGAAAACAGTTATAATAGTAATAGTAACTTTTTACTCAAGAAGATATTGTGAAGGTTTCTTATCATTGTAACTGCTTCAAACTGCTTAGAATAAACTTTTGCAAAACCAAAGCATTTATTGACTTACCTATTTGCAAAGCTAATACATCACTCATATCAATTCACAACAATCCATAAAATGTAATTAAAATCATACCCTTACCCCCAGGCACCAGACTACATATGCTCACAGCTCGCAACCCTTATTCCTAGCCCAATGCTTGGGGGGAAATCTGTATCTTCTCACTCCTTCAGAATATTAATAAGTGATGCTACCAAGTGTATATTGTGTACGTTGTGGTTATATTATCTGATTTCTTCTTGTTATACCACCCTGGAGATGACTAACAGATGGATTCAAATGCTGGATTAGACCTTTTTTTAGACCTAGAGATTTGCTGCTGAATATTCATGGTTTTAGAGTTATTCTCCTATATTCTACAGTTAACTCCAGTTAATGTGATTCCTCGGTGACTAAACATTAACTTATCACATAAAGTCTCTCCCCTCCTTGAGTTTGGTTTTTAAAATGTATTTTATTTAAACCAAAAGGAATAGGGAAGCCACAAAAGTGTTAAAGAGTAGAAAGAAAGAGTCAAGAGGGTGGTAGGAATTATAGAGTAAATGTAAGGAAGGGGAAGAAACAGTGGGGAGAAAATACAAGAGATCTCACTCTGTTCTAAGGTATTCATTCAATCACTTTATTGGGAGTTACTGCTTAACTATTGTTAATAAATAAATAAAATGAGTATGAATAAATAAATTGCAGACTCCACAGTGCCAAGGTAATCATTTTGAAAGCAGGTAGAACCCATCCAGGCAAGAGTTATTGTGGGACAGTATTGGCAATGCCCAGTGTTGCCCAGTGTTGTTGAAGAACTTAAAAGAAACTTTGCAAACTCAGGTTTTACAAAATCATCAAGTTCCCCATGAGCCTTTCCTCTAAAGCAAGGGTCTTCAAACTTGGCAAGTTTAAGACTTGGGGACTTCAGCTTCCAAAATTTCCTGAGTTAACATGACTGGAGGAGGAATTCTGGGAGTTGAAGTCCCCAAGTCTTAAAGCTGTCAAGTTTGAAGACCCCTACTCTAAAGGAAATTGGGATGAGCAATAATGACTTGCTTTTCTCTCAAAGTGAGGAATACGAGAAGTGAAATCATTCCCAGAAAAGACATTGGAGCAGGTAAAATCAATCACCAGAATCCTGGATGTGCTGACAGTTACCTTTTCAGTTGGTGGGTTGGAGGTTTAGAGAATGAAAATTGGTACAATCGAGCTAAGATTCCAGACATTATTCCAGTAATCCAATAGTCTCCTGGTTTGTAGTAATGGAACCATTCCTTTTCTTCTAGTATCACCTCAAATGGACATTTCATCAGCATACTGGCACAGGGAATTTGAGACAGAAGCTGAAGCAGAAAAAGCTGTACATGCAGCAACAGCAACATTTGACATATCCTGCAAGAGATCCTTCCTACAGTTCTTTCTTCAGCACAGAGCTAAATCACAGAGATCACAGAAGACCACAATTACAATGAGGAAGATCCAGTTTGCCCCCAGATTTGGAAGTTTTACCTTTCAACTTTTAGATTGCTATAGTATTTGCCCAGCTTTACCCCAACCTCTGCCTTCATCACTGAAAGAGGCTGTTACAAATCAGATTATCAGGTGCAATCTATCCCATTGGTTGTCACATTGATTGGCAATTAATTGTGGTGGTGGAAATCCCAAAGGAGAATAAATAATCATGGTTTTAAAAATGAGAAGGGGAATTGGGAACGAACATTGCTGCAAAACTGGGCAGTTGGAGAAAAGAGTTTTGTTTGACTCAGGAGAATAATCCTAATTTGAGAACCAAGAAAGGAACAATTCAGGGAAGTTTGATTGTTTTTTTAGTCTGCAAACTTATTCTTGAGATTCTAAAGCTTAAAATGTGGGGAAACAGTTCAATGTTCTTGAACTAGGCTATGGGCCATTATACTTCTTATTATGTCTGATGTGGATGAGGCCATCTTTCTCAATGAAGGTTAGTTACTCCAGAACAGTATCTGGAGTTACTGACTTCTTCATGATGTGGTGATATTTGCTGTCTCTTACATAGGTAATCCAATAGGAAACCATGAGATGACGCTATATGAGTACCATATCAACAATGTATGATGACCCATAGTCTCTTAAAATAACCCAAAATCCAAAACATATATTAAAGTCCGGTAAAGCCTTCAACTTAACTTCACTGTTTTATTAGGCACAGTTTAAAGTCACAAAAGTAAATAAGGAGGCAAACAGAAAACCAAAACAAACCGCATTGATGAGAGTTCTGAAGCAAGCCGAGATAACTAATTATAAACTTCAGGAAAATAGCAGAGAAAAGTCCATGGGAAGAACACCAACAAAGATAAGCCTCTTTCAAGGGGAACACTAATTGACTTCAGCAATTCTAACTGCACAGTTGCAAACTTATATACATAGCTCCCACCTGCAAGCCACGAGGAGGTTCATGGTAATCTCCTCTTGAGTAGACCTTGCTTTTCCCTGATCCTCTCCTCCTTACGTGACCTAGGATGGATAGGGGATGGGCCTGGATCCTCCTCCCTACTGCTCAGCTGGCCTCTGCCCTTCCCCAGCCTCCTCCACCACCTCTGGAGCCACACTCCCACTCCCTGTTGGCTATTCCTCCTCTTCCTCAGAGTCAGACTCCACCAGGGGCATGACACAATGGCTGAAGGTGAAGGGCTAAACAACATGAGCTGAGCCCATGGCCAATGCTATATGACAGTGATGGCTATTCTTTTTGACACCAAGTGCCCAAAGCGCATGCGTGCATCCCCCAAATGCGATGTGCATGCATCCGCACAAATGCATGTGCATCCCCTTGCATGTGCCCCATGCCCACATGCATGCACAGCAGACACCTGAAGAGTGGGAGGTGGGAGGTGCACGTGCATACATGGCAGAACTGAGCTGGGGTGATGGCTCACGTGCCCACAGAGAGGGCTCTGCATTCCACCTCTGGCACGCATGCCATAGGTCCACCATCACAGCTAAATGATGTGCAGGTATGAGTCCTTCTGCTAAGGACATGCATCTGAGACCTCTCTCCATTGTACCCTCCAAAATCATTTAATGGAGTATAAATTAATGAGTTACATATATTGCCTGGATAATCAATTGCTTCAAGGACGAACATTAATTTGAAGCTCAAATTCCAAAGGGGTGGGATTCTACTGGTTTGGACCATAGTTCCAGTGATCATTTGGCCCTGCCCACCTGCCCCTGCCCTTTTCCTGTGCTTTATTACCTTGTTTTTGAGCACAGGTGATTCACACAGCAGAATGGTTTGCCACACATCAGCTGTTTTACTCACCGGGGTTGCAACAGAAGGTAAGTATTATAGCTAAAAATTGTCTTTTCTATTTTTAAAAAATAAATTTTATTGAGTTTTCACCTTTAAAAACAAATTCTATATACATTTTTTGCAGTTGTTTGTGACATCAGTTATTCCATTTTTCTGTACATACACACACACACACACACACACACACACACACACACACACACAAACATTTTCCTAGATTTTCACGGGTACAGGTATGCAGGTCTTGGCGTGTTCGGGTCTTTTCCTGTGTAAGATTGAGAGTATCTTGGCAATGTTTTGATGAGGTCCTACATGCCATCTTCAGGCTGGTGCTTTCGGCTTCGTGCTTGTGCGAGCAAAGCATGATCAGAGCTGCCGTCTCCCTAAATATACTGGTGGGGAGTTTGGCTGTGTTGTCATTTCTTGACTGGTTTATGGAGTTGATGTTTGCAGATTGGCTGGCTTTTTCTTAAGAACATGTGTGGCTGAGGTATTGGCTGTGTATCTATCATCCTCCTGTGTTGTAATGACCTGGGTAATGGGGCTGTGTGATGACCTTCTGAGTTCTATTGTTTTGACATCCTGGGTCTTGTGCTGTAATCTCCTGGGTTGCAATGACCTGGGTCATGGGCTGTGTGATGACCTTCTGAGATCTATTGTTGTGATATCCTGGGTCTTGTGCTGTAATCTCCTGAGTCGTTGGCTGTGTTGTAACATCCTAAGGTTTTGTGGTGTAACCTCCTGAGTTCCGTGATGTGATATCCTGAGCAGGTGGCTGTGATGTGACGTTCTGGGTTTTTGTTTGGCTCCGAGTTTGAGGCCTGGATGTGTGTTCATGGCATATGTCCATTTGCTTGGTTTGGGGGTTGGGGTGTGTGGCAGCTGGTGATGCAGCTGTGGTCTGGTTTCTGGATGATGGTTGCCTTTCATCTATGGAATGGGTTTGGGTTTGAGTCTGGTAAGGGAGATTGGTGGTGGCATCATGTGTTGGTTTGGGTCCGGTGTTGGTTTTCGTGGCTGGGACTCATTTTTTGATAAGTGTGGGAATAAAACCTTGACTTGGGTATTGGATAATGATTAGTCTAAGACCTTATACATACATGTCTGCCTAAAGGTCACTGAGATAAAGCAAGGAAATTAAAAGCAAACACCAGAAACAATTAAGCAGCTCAGACAACTGTAAACAATTCTGTGTACTATATCTAATTATTGTAATCCTCAATGTGAATGCTTACTATGTACAAACATCTCAATAAAAGGGAGCACTGGAATTTTGCTCTGGACTCCCATCCCGAGTACACACGCTTATGTCTCATTCTTTCCATGGGAGACCACCACAAGTGGTGACCCCGACGTGATCCACTGCAGGTGGTACGTGTCCGGACCTCCGTGTTTCCTCGCCTGGAATAGGTAAAGTACGTACTTAACTATTGCTGGACAATAGGATTTTTTCAGGGAACACGGGGGGGGGGGGCCTCTC